GGGAGGGGGGGCAGCACCCACCCTCACCCATCTGTCTGTCCTTCCGTCCGTCCTTCCTTCCGGGGGCGGGGGGGGGCAGCACCCACCCTCACCCACCCGTCTGTCCTTCCTTCCGGGGGCGGGGGGAGGGCAGCACCCACCCTCACCCACCCTCACCCACACGTCTGTCCATCCGTCTGTCCTTCCTTCCAGGGGCGGGGGGGCACATGGCTAGCACCCACCCTCACCCACCCATCTGTCCATCCGTCCGTCCTTCCTTCTCCCGGTGGGGGCGGGCATGGGGCCAGCACCCACCCTCACCCACCCTCCTTCCACCCGTCCGTCTTTCCTTCTGCCGGTGGGGGCACAGGGCTAGCACCCACCCACCAGCCGTCCACCCTCACCCACCTTCCCTCCATCAGTCCGCCCACCCATCCCTCCTTCCTCCCATCCGTCCGTCCATCTGTCCTTTCTCCCGCCGGCCCAGGAGGCACAGCTGAGGGCCTGGGGGTTGCCCACGCGGAGGCTGTGGGCTTTGGGGGATGAGGACGAGGCTCGCTGTGTGTGTGGGTCCCCAGCACCGTCCCGTGGGGGCGGGCGGCCCTGACCCGGCGCTGTGCTCCGGACCCTCGAACTGGTCCCGAACGGTCCTGAGCTCAGCTCCCTGAGAGCTTCTGGGGTCCCCTGCCCCCCCCCCCGTGGGAGGCCGTGCCTGGGACCCCAGCCCATGCCCGGGTGTGTCTGCAGAACGTGGCACTGCTGGAGGAGGAGGCGGACATCAACCAGCTGACGGAGTTCTTCTCCTACGAGCACTTCTACGTCATCTACTGCAAGTTCTGGGAGCTGGACACTGACCACGACCTGCTCATCGGCCAGCAGGACCTGGCCCGGCACAACGACCACGGTGAGCGGGACGAGCGGGGACACGGCAGATTAGGGGCGGGGGACGGGCAGGTGTGTGCACAAGAAACGGGCAGGTGTGTGTGCACAGGAAACGGGCAGGTGTGTGCACAGGGGACGGGCAGGTGTGTGCCCCAGGGACGGGCAGGTGTGTGCACAGGGACGGGCAGGTGTGTGCACAGGGGACGGGAAGGTGTGTGCACAGGGGACGG